ATTTATACATTCTTCTCCTAAGTCACAATTATCAATACTAACCACAGGTTTCTTTTGGTCAATTCCCGGGGATTGTCCAACTAAAATCTTATAGTCAGTAAGGATTTGGAAATCTTGAGACTTGACAAAATAATTGTAGCCTTATATGTTATCGAATGCACCTTCAAAGGTCTCCAACTTGCTCAATCTTGCAACCCCTTCTCCTTTTATCTTCAATTGTCTATTCACTAGCAAGTATTGGAGATTGGAAAGGTTTGATAACATTCCCATCGGAATCTCTTTTAGATTGTCACAATAAATTAAATCAAGATATTCCAAACTAATTAATTTCTCCATGCCTTGAGGGACCACCTCAATCCTGGATCTATTCTGATCCAACTTCTTTAATGCCCTAAGCTTTGCAAAAGAAGGAAAATACCTTAACCTCAAACACAACTTTAACCTTACAAAAGAGAGCTTCTCCATGTTTGAGATGGAATTAGGTAAAGCTTCAATATTAGTATCAAAAAGATCAAGAACCTTTAGTTCAGGCATCCCTTTCAAAGAAGGATTATGGGATCTCTAACAAATTGCCATTATTTGACAATATCAAAGTTGAAAGAGTTGGACGCTTTGGGCACAACCCAAGGGGAATTTTTGATATGTTTCTCTCCATTAGTGACACCTTAAGATCATTTCCCCACACACGCTCATCTAAGTACCTTTGTCAATTTCATACCAATTTTTACCATGTATCCAAATTCAACACCAATGCTTTTGATAGCCATGTCTCTTGCTACATTATGCATCTTTAAAATATCACCATGCCAAGTAAAAGTTTTCTAAGCAATCTTTACTAGCCTATTTAAAAAAGCATGCCCCCTCTCATAAGTTGCTTTTCTACTAGCCAACCCATCAATTAATCCTTCATCAATACACCCTTCTATCAACTCTTCTCTTGAAAAGGAATAAACTTTAGGAAACAAGGAACAATAAAGAAAACAATTTTGAATTTCAAAACTATTTAAACGATCATAACTAAATCTTAACCTCTTGAATATCTTTTCATCTGAACCATTCACACTCTTTACCTGTTCCCATAATTCATTCAAGGCATTATTCCACACTTTAACATCATCTTCTACCTTCATACTCTCTGCTATCACAACAATGGCCAGTGGTAAGCCACCACACTCCCTCACAATGAGCTTCAAGATTCCTTCTAAATTAGGACTAGTAGAACATGACGCCCAACTTTATTTGAGAATAAGTCAAGACTCTTGAAATGAAAGGGGTTCCACTGTGACTATCTCACAACCCTTTCTTTGGCACACCTCAATGGATCTACTACTGATAACTATTTTGCTTCCATTCCAAGTTGTTAGTTTTGGAATTCCCACTTCCATGAGAGAAAACCTTTCCCAAACATCATCTAGGATTAGCACATATCTTCCTACTCCTTCCATAAAGCAAGTAGCTGCCCACCTTACTTTATCCTCACCTTATGGGAGTCTCAGTCTATCATCCATAGCACAAGCAACATTTTCTTGTAATTTGATAACATTGAGTGGGTAGGACACAATGACCCAAATCACTCTATCAAAATTGGTCACTATCAACAATTCATTATTAATATGCTTCATGATGGTAGTCTTCCCAATGCCACCAATCCCGCAAACTCCAATCTTTCCGACCTCATTGCCCATCAAGTATCCCCAAAATTTTCCTTTTGCAAAATCCTCATCCACTACATTCTTAGTTGGCAATATGATTCCTCAGGTTGGAGATCTGTCAATTATGACTATGAGACCATCAGCAAAACTACCTTGTTCATAGATTCTCCTCACCACCTCAATTTTCTTATGAACAAGTTTCCCAAGAAGGCCCTTTGAGTACCACTTAACTCTTTGAATCCTTTCTTGAATGGCTTGCACTTCATTATTGATTTCTTTTACACATTCAAGCCAGCCTTACACTTCATGTTTTACTTTTTTTCTCCAACCAGCCTCAGACTGCATGGTTAAATTTATATCTTATTTTCACCTATTCAAAACTTGCAATTCTCTTCTCAGATCACTCATAGTGTCATCAAAATTTAAGTGATAATCTTGATAGGTGCAAGTTGACCTCCCCAAATACTTTATCGGCTCTATTAGAAGCTCCATTGAAAAAGGCCCTATAAAATGAAAAACCATGTGCATTAGAATGTACATGACAACTTCAAAAACAATGCAAGATAGGAATAACTTAATGCTTAATAGGATGAAAAAGTGAGGGTAAAAAGGAGAGGAAAAATTGTCACTAGCTGTTTTCATCACTCAGCATGTCACATAATTTAATTTGCATTATTCAGTTATTTGTTTGCTTCAATTAATTTGTAAAAAGTTACCTGATTAAGAAGATGGTTTTGAAGGAAGATGTAGTTGAGTGACCTGATTAGAACTTCTTCCTTCTACGAGTTTGATTATAACTGAAAAAAAAGAAGAAGATAATATATGTGAAAAGTGAGTAAACAAAATGATAAATGTAGTTGATGGGATGAAAATGGTCTAATAAATCAATGCAATGATTTATATGTATAGCGAGAGAGAGAGAATATTGACCACTGCATTTATCAATTTAGAAGCTTTTACAAAAATAATACATGAGTAAGGAAAAGATGGCAGATATTGTTACCCATACCATATCCAAAGAATTAAATAAAATGAGTATGGATAAGTCACACTTGTAAGTCTTACATAAATTTTCAGTCACTTCAAATTTTAGACAATTAATGCATCGAAAATGCTATAGTTATAATGTCATGTGACATTATAAACTTATAACATGATGTATCCTTTTATAATTGACTCTTTTCAATCAAAGATCCACCCGTAATATTGTATGTATTTACTCATTTAATGACATGTCACACTAATTTAATGTTACATCATGATTGTAAACATGCAATCTTCCATGACATAGTAAATATAGCATTGCCATTAACACATCACTTGAGTCATAATATTTACCCCTAAAATTTGAACAAGATATGTTTAACTTCAAATCTAAAGTTTTATAAATTGAGACATTGAGGTTATTTGTTTTAATATCCCAGATGATGCATTATATAACAAGCGATAATGCACTCCTTCCCAAACCCTCTCCATCACACCTTAGGATTCTAACTCAATGCCTCAAACAAAAAAATTCAAGTTTTTAACCACCAAACTGTCTCCTAGTGGGCAAATGCATCCTATTATGTATTATATATGTAATAGATCAATTCAAATGACACTGGGGTGGGTAAAAGCCGTACTGTATTATTCTCACCCATGCCGTTTGAATAATATTTTACTTTTACTCCAACCATGCTCTTAAAAAAAAAAAAACTGAACTAGCAATCAATCCAAAGCAAAAAATCTAAGGTAACCAAATTGTGAATCAATAGAGAAATCTAAAATTGAAGATCTAGATAGATAACGTACCTGCAGCAGTTTTAGAACAAGGAATCGAAGAACGTTGGACACTGGTACCCAAATTAGGCCAAGCAAAATAGAAGACGCAGCAGATCTGCAAAATTGCAAATGCAATCCTAATTCTTACTGTTCAGAGAGGTTGATGGATACTTCCTAAAAGAATAGCATACTATTCATATAGGGTCACTTGGAGACATGTCTATATTTACTTTGAGTACCAAAAAAAAAACAGAATTTATAAGATTAATCAAGTAGCTTGGCTTCTAATTACAAGAAATCACAAACAATTTAAAAAGTGAGGAATCTAATGAGAAAGAGGCTTCTTTGCTGCTGGGGTCATGCGATTCACAACAAAACTGAGACATTTTTTATTTATATACATACTCTAAAGAGAACATAACAAAATCAAGATTGAAGAACTAGATAAATGGTGTACCTGCAGGATTAGCAGAAGAAATTAAGGAAGTTGGGACACTAGGAACAAAATTAGGCCAAGCAAAAATTACATGAAGCTTAATTGTAATTGCAAAGCCTAATTTCTTACTGACAAGAAGAGTTGAGGCAGCTAAGGAGAAGAGAACGTAGAGGAAACAAGTCGATGAGAGAGTCGAGATATTTCTTCGAAGATGCGCCCATGCGGATGGTCAAAGATGTGGATGACATTCACAGTTCCACACGGATTACTAAAGCATAATTCAGCTGTGAAATTAGTTGTTAATGTAGCTGTTACAGTCCAAACGTAGCATTTCATTTCAAAATAATTATTATTTTTATATTTTTTAATAAACAATTTTTTTA